CACCGGGGCATCCCGGTGTAGCCCGCTTCAGCAGCGTAACTCCCAGCGGGACGTGGAGCTGCCTGTGATCATACGCCTCAGCCATCCTCTGCTCCGGCGTTCCTCCTGCCAGTAAAATACTCCTGCCCTTCTATTTCAGCTGCGTAAACCGTGCTGCTCTTTGTGATGCAAAGCACGGAACTTGGTCCTAACTTCCTAAGGATATGTTAACTGAGCTTATGTTTTTCCTTTGGTCCAGGTAGAGATCTTACGACCCAAAGAAGATGTCAAGACGCAGGTAAACTGTTAATACACCATAATACACCAAGCGTATCTGCGTTCATCTAATACCGGCCGCTCTCCTAACATCTGATGTCTTTTTGCTCTTTGCAGTAGCCGGTTGCAAGCCAAGCAGCAGCAGCCGCTGTCATGTCAAGAAGAGTCTCCACAAGAACTGCAGGCACCAGAACATCTCCAGACCAGAAAAAGGAGAACAGCAGAGGTGACCAGTTTGGGCAATGTATTCAATTTAACAATATTGAAAGTTCTCCGGTGTATTTGGGTGGGAGAATCTTTGCTCTGGGGTGGGAATGGCAACAGTTTGCTTTAGTTTCAGAGGTGGCTGCGCTGGTCGTTGTCAGTGTATTGATATGTGTGTGTCTCTTCTCAGCAGGAGATCAAGAAAAGAGAAGATGGGAAAATTGCTAAAAAGCATCAATATGAGATTAAGGTAATTCAGTCCTGATTCCTGGTTCAAACTAGGTGAGGGAGTCTGGTTTATGTTGTTTATGTAAAGTCATGCATTCCACGCTAGAAAGTATTGAATAGGGTAAGTTTCTACCTTCGGATATTAAAAACTATGGGAGCTCTGCACCTTAGCATCTTTTTATCCATTTTTGCTTTTTTACGCGTGGCTTTGTTGCAGATAAAGTGTCCTTCAGTGTGGAAACCACTGCAGAGTAAGGTTAGGTGTAAAAATGAGAATAAACCCAGATATTTCAGAATAATTCCACATGCAGAGCAGGTAAGTCCTAGAGGCAAGCCTAAACAAGATCATTGCACTTGTTTTAACTTAAGGTGTGGTTTCACGGCCATTTGGTTAAGACGACTCATAACTGTGCAGGCCCTCTTTACTTTCACTCAACAGTTCTTTTGATTATTTAAATCAATTTAGGAATCTGTTTTAACCAACACAGGCTACTCCTAAACCAAGTGAGGGGCTATACAGTTTATTTTAAAGTGGGTTAGTAAAATGATGTAACTTTCTCTTGCAAACAATGTTGTTTGCAGTTTTCCTGTTTGTAAAGCAAATGAGACTAACAGCTATGGTGAAGCAAAACTCTTCA